GTTTAAAAATATTCCTTGCAATTAAAGATCTGAACTCTTTCAAGAAGTAGGTAGTAAAAGGAAGCACTTTCACTTGAATGGGGTGGTTACAGGCAGCCCTCACATCATCAGTACATAGTCATCCTCTGCCAACGTGGTCAAAGCCAATCCAAGTCAATGAGAGAAGAGTCACATAAGAAGCAAGAAGATGCTTTGGTTTGGGATAAATAAAAAATGGAGGAAGTATTCATTTCCATTGAGTGAGAAGAAACTATACATTGAGAAGTTATTAGTGAAATGTAGTCTTAATAGTTAATAAACATAAGTTAAAATATATGGGGCCAAAAACTATGAAAATGGATTGAGATGACTTGTAAGATAAATAAACTGTAGAGAACCAACAGTATGGTTATGTTAATAGCTAGGTAATACCACTCAGACATACTTTTTGTCTTCCCATGACAATGAATATATCTGCTATTAAGGTCAACCTATTTATTTATCTTTTGTTGTTGATTTTTAAGTATATAGTTGAGGGTACTAAGTGGTATGCTCCCATGAGACTCAATACTTTGTAATTTAGCTGATGATAATCCTCTAAACTAACCCAATTAGGCTTCATTATCCCTTGACTATTATCACAGGTGGAGACACCACACAAAAAAAAGTCACTTTATCAGTAAACTACAAGCTCGAAGGACATGCCATATTGATCTTTAAAATTTTTTTTTTTTATTTTAAAGATGTGTGGTACAACTCAGAGTTAAGTATACAAATGTTTATTATGCAGGTACCCTTGTTGATGAAGTGTGCCCCCCTCCCCTGGCAGCATCCCACTACTGCCAATCCTTCCCCCTCCCCCAGCAATTTCCTACTATTGACAATCCTTTTCTTATAGAATTATGATAATTGTTCAAGGTCTACTTATGAGTGAGAATGTGTGATACTCAGTTCTTTGTTTCTGTGATAGATCACTCAGTATCCTACAAGGAACTCAAACATACCAAAAAGAAAAAAAAAACTGCCATATAAATCATAGTTAAGAGATATGAAATGGATACTGTGGTAGCAGTTAATTTTGGAAAAGATTTCAGCCTATGTGGGCTTCACAGCAGTTTGAACTTTCTTATCCAGTGAGTCACAGAAAGTTTGTAACAAGAGAGTGTCTTGATAACACTGGTGTGTCATGAAGCTCAAAATTAGATGCATTTGTATCTCTTCAATAGGGACTGATGGAACAAGGGAAAAAAAGGTTTCCATAAACCTATTGAGGGAGACAAGGACCTACAAAATAATTACTGAAAGTTCTGGAAGTTTCTAGTATCTCTTAGTGGGCAGAATTTCCTAAAGAATTCTTTAAGAGAGACGCTTGCTAACATATAAGCTTTAACTCAATGAAGAAATTAACCTTTAAGGGAACTATTAACCAAGAGAAGCACACTGGGATATTCCTCCTGATGTAAGAGTTTCCTAAGTGCATATCTTCTCCCACTCCAACCCCATCTGGCTTCACACTAAATATTTTCAGGCAGAAAATCAAGACTGACTCATATATACATTGTAATAAATACAGAAATGAACTGTACTTAACATGAATAGGAAAACAATATTTCAATATTGATAAAGTAAAATATACAAAATGATAAATACATGTAACACAACGGTACCTTTTTATTGATAAGAAATATAACTAAGAATTATTTGGTGCCATTTCAAAAATTCTTTCAATAAATAGGACCCTAATACTTTGATTAATAATTGCTATGTTCTTTTGGCATCTTGATCTAATTTTGATTTTTATATTGTATGTAGTTGTTCCAACACAAACTTAACTTTATTGTTGTCCCAAGACACATCTGTAAAGAATATGAAAGTCTCAAAGGTTTTAATTATCTCAGTTAAGTAGGAGTTACTAGTATTTCTGACACTAGTACTTAAATTCTAGTTATCAACCCAAACTGGGCTTTGGATTTCTTTCATTTGAATCACTGCTTTAAGTGATGCTATGGAAATGGCACTTTTATGAGGCTATGTGCTGGGATTTAGTATTTATCCAAAAAAGATGAACTGATTTAGGGAGCAGTTAGATAATTAAGCTAGCTCAGGTAATGTATTCTAAAACCTAATGGACATCATTAAAAATAAAATAAGAAAACCAGATTTCTCATTAGCATTTCTTTTCTCAGAATGGTCATTTTGCTATAAGCTCAGTAGCTTTTAAATGATAATAGAGAGTCTCTTATTACAAGCTCAAGGATTACTGAAAAATATACCTTCAGATTTCTCATTACTAATTATTTCCTCAAATTCACACAATGTTCATGTTAGTATATGTCCATTAGCTTTTAAATGATTATAACAAGGATCTTATTACTAATTTTTAAGATTACCGAAATCATATCTGCCATTAAAATTCACTGGAAAATTCAGGATAGTTTTTACAATATACTACTTCAGCTAAGTAAGTAGGATATTTAAAAATTCAAATCTGCTAATATATGTTCTTACAAATACACAGTAAGTATAGTGAATAAAATGACAATGTACATTGTGTTTTGAATAGAGATGTCCAGGAGACCATTTGCAAAATATTCAAATTTCCCAATTAAGTGACAGAGTACCACATTAATGAAATAGTCACTGTATTGCTCTGTACCAAAAAGGAAAACCACCACCTTTTATGCAATTTTTAAAATATACAATCTATGTGGGAACATGGTCAAATATCAAAAGAAAAAACCAAATGCCCACAAGGAGCAGCACAGTGTGGGCTGGGACACCTCCTTAAGGGCCAAACAACCCTAAAACACACCAAAGAAATGCCTCAGCAGTTGATTCTTCATCAAGGATACAGTCTGTCCTTCACCATCTCGATTAAGTCATAGATACTTTGTGTGGTCCATATGTCAGCTGATTTAAATAAACCCCATTCCTACCTAGTCCAAGATTCTAGGGAGGTGAGTTCAGTCTTTCCTTCTTTCCAGCATATTATATCATGGTTTGGTCTGATCTGAGAGCCCAGTCTCAGAATGTGTTTGATCTCATCCTCCAATACTTCTAGGTCTCTTCATGACAACAGCAAAACCTGTAGGCCTATCTTAAGTTATATAAATTAGACTGAATCTCTTAACGTCTCCCTTGCCATGCCATGGCATGCTTTCACTGAGTTAGAATAAATATATCCACAGTACTGAGACCTCAGGCTTAATATAGCTCTTTCCTGATGGTAAAACCTGAAATGAGCTATGACTGTCCAACATTCTTTCCTTCACTAGGCTGCCAGAGCTTGGGAGTGGGGAGAAATCCTAATATACAATCACAACCTGTTATTACCTTTCATTTCTGAAATTGAGGGTAAAAATGAAACAGAGCATTTTCTAGTTATCTAAAAATCATGCACAAACAGTTTTTATTTACTTCAAATTGTAGAAGAAAGTATGACTTGCATATTATACCATTCCAAAACATTGTCCAGGAGCCATAAATTATATTTAATTTTCACTGTGTATAAAGCTTCCCACTCTCAACAACAGAAAAACCAACATAAGATGTATTTGGAGACTATTTTACTTCCATGCTGACTAAATACTGATAATGCAATAGATTGCCGTTATTAATCTTTTTTTGTGAATATAATTTTTTAAGTAGACAAGGCAGACTTGCCACAAGAAAATGAAAAAATCTGTTTCTCAAGCTATAACTTTTATACTTGTTTTGCAATTACAACATAGACATTTTGTCAAATGTCCCCAGATTTCTCAGTTTGACAAATGGTATTTCATTCCCTGTCCTTTTCTAAGACATTTTTACCTTTTCCATTGTTCTAAAACACATCTTTCATAAAAGAAAACTCTAATAGAAAAATGTGTCACAAAAATAAATAACAAAGCTTCCAATTCCAAACTAGTTTAAAAGTATAAAGCTTCATGACAACCTGTCAACCACACCATCATTAATAGTTTGGTTACAAATCTTATAAACTATTCCATGGTAAATTTGAAGATCACATGGTTCAATTCAATGATCTTTCTCCACTGCTACTCCCGTCTATCTCCTCCTGCTCCCCAGAAATAAGCAATTAAGCAAAATTATAATTTAATTATCAAGTAGCTATAAAAAGAAATGCCATTTATTTCACTCTGAAAATTTGATAGAATAGGCACATAAAAGATAAAAGTTCCACATTAAGCAAGTTTTCTCTCTATTGAAAGTGGGTCAGGTAACAAAAAACATGTAGAAGTTTAAACTAATGGTTTAAGATTAATCAAAATGCAATTGTTACATTGTAAAATCCATGAATGTTGGGCATTCACAATTCAAAGTCACAAACAGGAGTCCTTCAAGGAGATTAGAAATGCCTCAAGAAGCCATCATGCTGAATATACTTTGTCACACTAGAGAAACAACACAGAGCTTAAAGATTCTTTTTTGCATATCTTCCAGGAAATATTAGTCTTTCTGTAATTCCCAATAAACTTCACTAACAGAAATTTTTTTTTCACAATCAGATAACAGGAATAAATGAAATGAAGAAAAACATTACACTGAGCTTGGACATATTCATATTAAAATAATAATTTCTAGATTAATATCACATATTCCCTTTTTAATGATATTTTATTTTGTCTGACTCCTTAATCTCAAAGCATCAGATAGGTTATTTGACTGTCATTTTATTTTGTGTTATCCAGACTTGAATAAAGAAGAAATTCATTTCTTAGGAGTTCACTCTAATCTCTCTCTCTTTCTTTTCTGCTCTGTCACAGCTTTAAAATGAATTCATCACAATGATGATGTAATAAATAAGCCAATTCCTATTGACATTATCTGGAATGATGACCTAAGCAAAGTAATTAGTCTGCATCTTTGTACCACAGAAGTTGGCTTCTTTCCTTCCTATTGATCACCAGTAATTCATTCTTATTCAAACAACATTGACTCATATCAAAGCATGAACCCTCTTATCCTTCATTATCTATTCAGCTTACATTATGATTAACTTTATAGAAAGATCAACTTACCTGGCACAAATTATCATCTGGATCTGTTACTTTAGACTGGCATTTCATTGCCTTTGCCATGGGGTAGTACTTAATTTTGGTTGTGGCCTTAATGATTCCATCACAATAGACATTGACATTGACCAAACCAGTAGAAAACTCTTAAAGAGAACAAACAAGAATTAGGAGCTCGGTATATATTACATATTCATACATGCTTTAGAGAACATAAAAGAAACTTTTAAGTCTTCATGATAATTTTACTAATCTTGAAACTACAAAATAAAATGGACAATTTTAGCCTTAATTGCTTTAAAAAAAAACCCCTAAAAGATAAAAGCATGTGTTAAAATTATAATAAACATAAAGCACTAAATCCCTTGTCCCAACTTTCCTAATTATGAATGTCCTTTTTTTGTAGTGGTCTATAGTTATCTTTATATAATACTTCAGAATTTTTGAAAGTACCACACTATTCATCAAAATTTGGACATTTGTTATGAATTGTATGAAAAAATCCAATTAATTATAGACAAGTTTCTCAAAATTGTATTTTGAAAGAGTAGAGCTGATTGAAACTGTATAACTTGCATTCAATTTATTATAATAAAAAACCCTAGGAAAGGCAGGGTGTAATGCCATGATGCTTAAGTACTAAATAGACCACATATCCATCCAATGATTTTTGAGAACAAGTTTTTCAAAGTGACTGATACGATGTATTGTAAATTACACTGAAATATACAGAGTTAAAGTTGTATAAGAATTTGGGACTCTTCATGAAATAATTAAAAAAACAATCATTTCAATAGAAAAGTTATGTGTTTTAGTGTAACAAAAGTAAACAAAGTTTAGGTCTTTAATTTGTGGGACATACCTTAAAAAATTTCACTGTCTTGGAGGTAGATCCCAAGTTCTCCTGGAAAACTATTACTCAAACATCTGGGATTAAGTATAAGAGCTCTGCATAAGTGTAAACGTTCTTTTTAAGATTTAAGATTTAACTTTATCTCATGAAGCTGTTAATGGACTTCATAATACCACTCAAGGAAATATAAATGCAATTTCAAAAGAACCTTAAGCTTAACTAGGTTAAGGAGGTGTGAAATTTCATCCTCCTATATTTTTTGACTAGACCCTCACCTGTATTATAAGGAAGGTTTATGTAGAAAAACAGAAACTCTCTTTTTCCAAAGAAGTATCCTCCTAAGAGAGAATGTAGTAGAAACCATGGCAAAAACCGGAAAATTATCAAGCATATCTAATCAGCTAAAGCAGTGTGCACACTGGTAAGAAGGTTTCTAGAGCAGCGGTTCCTAACCTTTTTGGCATCAGGAGCCGATTTCATGGAAGACAATTTTCCCACAGATGCAGGGGGGAGGAGGCAGGGATGGGGGAGAATGTGCAGTCAAACCTCACTGATAACCACCGTCTCAGCTCCACTTCAGATCATCAGGTATTAGATTCTTTCAAGAAGCTTGCAACCTGGATCCCTCATATAGACAGTTCACAATAGGGTTCGCGCATCTATGAGAATTTAATGCTGCCAGTTATCTGACAGTAGGTGAGTTCCCCTTGCCCACAGCTCACTTTCTGCTGTGCAGTTGGGTTCCTAACAGGCCACGGACTGGTACAGGTTGTGACCCGGGGCTTGGGGACCCCTGTTCTAGAGTTACTGAAGTCAAATGAAATAGATTTCAGTAGATTTCATAAAGATAATTTTTTAAATTCAAATTTTTATTGTCATATATTATACACATTATTTTGAAAAAGATATTAATTTTCTCTATCAGAAAAGAGATTAGGATTTCACCACTGGGAGTTAATCTTCCAAAAGAAAGTCAGTCAGGCAATGAATCATGAGAGATATATGGTAAGAAGATCTACTTGGTAGTTTTAGATATAGAATACTTAAACTATTCTAATTTCTTTAGAATCTAACATGAAAATGTACTGATTTATTTCTGATATATTGAGTCATTTGTTGACTCAAAATTTAGCCAGTGGATATTCTAATAATGATGTTGATTATAGCGTAATCCTTCAAAGCATGCCTCTTAAAGTATTGTATTTGCTGTGTTTTCATATCTGTTAAATGGCAGTTATTAAATCAATACCTAATTACTGCTCTCACCTATATGTTAGGGAGAATACCTTATGATTCATCTGGTTGTGAGGGCCTCCTTAGTAGTGTACTACCGAATTGGCCTTTTCATAAACAGCACCCTGTACTACTTGAGTATTATTTTACTTTAACTTTGGTTCATTATGATGACTACATTTTACAGCTCCTCAGTAAAAATAAAAACCAATGAATTTAAGGACTCAAATAGAACAGAATAAAACTAAATTCTGCTGTTTGCCATCTAGACTAAAGTAGTCAAGTAGTATATAACACTGGGAGTGCACACAAATATAGGTCAAGATCACCAAACCAAGCAAGGGTATCAGTGAGAGTCAGCAGTGAAGAAGAAAAAAAGGCATACAATGGAAGAAAAGATGGAGCCCCCTATCTCTCACCAGAAATAGGTACCAATAAAGTATAATTAGGGAAAAACAATGATAAACAAGAAATTCCATTTAAATTTCAAATTCCGGGCAATTTAAAAGTCTTTGTCAACCTTCCTTTTCTCCATAATTTTAGTGGTCACCTTCCAGATAATCTGCAAATTGAAGTCATTTATGAAAAATATAATCCCAAAGTATTTCTGAATAATCAAAATATGTCACTAATTCCATAAAAATAGATATTTCACACATTCATTAATTAAAAATGTCTTTTGTTTGTGCATTTCCATTTTCTGAAAAGCTGTGTTCTTTTATGGGCCAATTTTAACCTTTTCCCATATGGTAAACATTAAATGAATCCACCCAGTGTTTCCATGAGTACTGAGATCAGCATAGCTCTGTTTGATTGAAACATTATCATAAATAAAGATAGGTGACTTCAAAACCTGGCCATACCTAAAAGTTAATAACAATTTGAAATATGTCAAAATTGTTTTCCTGAATAATGAGATCTGGAAAAATTTATTATCAATTGTTGTTATTTTTAAAGCATGTTCAGCATAATATTTGGCATATCCTGAAGTATTTATCATGCTCTTTTAATGAAATGTGAAGTTATAATTTACATTATCCAAAGCACAGTTTCTTAATTAATACAGATATTCTATATTTTTTGGATACATTATGCATTCTTTTCAACTTTTAATTGGTTGTTCCCTGCTGTGATAGTTTTTTTTTCCTGGCAATGCTATAGGTACACCAGAGGAATATTTTCTTCCTTCTGCATAAAAATTAATTAATATTTCTAGTTTAAACCCTTCATGTATATTTTCATAAGATTTGATATAAACTGGGATTGCAAATTCCTTTGACAAAAAGTCACTGCCAGAAAAACATCTATGAACACCACTAGGAAGGTGTGATCTCTTGAAAATAAGGTAATTATAAATGCTAATATAAGGTAATTATAAATAAAAAGTTATTGAGCTGAAAGGGAAGGGGAGATGGAAAAATGACATTTTCTCAAATAAAAAAAGTCAGGTTAAGATGTGGAAGTGTATCAGAAGATAAAAATGTTACTAGAAAAAAAAAAAAACCTTTAGGATATACTCACTGTTCAGCATAATTGTACTTTAGTATAATTTTTATTTTTCTCTACATTGTTACTGAGTGAAAATATCTGGCATTGGTGTTTTCTCTTCTGGAAGATCAATAATTAATGATTCAATTTCCTTAGGATATACACCTATTCAGATTATCCATTACTTCCTGTGTGAATTTTTGTAGTTTACGTCTTTCAAGAAATTTGTTCACTTGTCTAAGATATCAAATTTGTAGGCTCACAGTTATTCATAGTACTCGTTATTATCCTTTTAATGTTCATAGGCCAGTAACAATTACCCCTATTTTATTTTTGATATTATTAATTTGTGTCTTCTGTTATTGATTAGTCAAGCTAAAAGTTTATAAATTTTCTTGATCTTTTAAAAGAATCACTTTGGGATTTATTGAATTTCTCTCTTATTTTCCATTTTATTTTATTTTCTATCTAACCTGATTATATGTTTTTTTCTATTTGCTTTATACTTAAATTTCTCATCTTTCTCTAGTTTCTTAAGATGGAGGTTTAGGCTATTAGTTTTAGATGTTTCTTCTTTTCTATTACAAGCTTTTAATGATACAATTTCCCTAAAGGAACTGTTTTCTCTGTATTCCATTAAATTTGTTTAGTTATATTTTCATTTCTTTCAAATTATTTTAAATTTTGCTTTAAAAGTTTGTTGTTTAATCTCCAAATATCTGGGGATTTTCCAACTTACTTTCTGTTATTGATGTCTATTTCAATTATTCTATGATTTGAGAACATTGCATGATTTCTTTTATATTGATTAAAGTGCATTCTTTAATTTTAATTTTTTATTTTAAAGATGTGGGGTACGATTCAGGATTAGTTATAAAAGTGGTCATCACACAGGTAAAGTTTGGGCCTCCCTTTGGTCCCTACTTCACCTGGTTTGAGATCAGGTACACTTATTGATGTTAGGTGCCCCACCCTTTTTCCTGGCAGTTTCCAGCTACTGCCAATCCCTTTCTTATAGTATTGTGTTAAATGTTCAGGGTCCGCTTATGAGTGAGAACATTTGGTACTCAGTTCTTTGTTTCTGTGATAAATCACTAAGTATTATAGACTCTAAATTCATCCAAGTTGCTGCAAAGCCCATAATTTTGTTCATCTTTATGACTGTGCAATATTCCATGGTGTGTACGTACCACATTTTTTTTTATCCAGTCCAGTTTCAATGGGCAGCATGGCTAGGTCCATGTTTTTGCTACTGTAAATAGTACTGCAATAAACATGCAGGTGCAGGTATCTTTTTTGTAGAGTGATTTAAGTTCTTCTAGGTATATTCCCAGAAGGGGGATTGTTGGATTGTATGAAAGGTCAATTTCTAGTTCTTTTTGGAGTCACCACACTGTTTTCCATAGAAGTTGAATTAGTTTGCATACCCATCAACAGTGTAGGTGTTCCATTTTCTCTGCATCCTCACCAACATGTTGTTTTTTGTTTTATTAATAATGGCCATTCTTATTGGAGTTAGGTGGTATCTCAAGAGAAGTGAAAGACCTTTACAATGAAAACTACTAAACACTG